ATGCTAGCTGCTGCTGCACAGCTGGCAAGTGTTTGTCCTTAATGGTGTTTGCTGTTCTACATCAGAGAGTTTGGTGGTCACAGGGCTGATTTCCAGATCTCCATTTCCTTCATGCCCAGTGCTCAAAGCAGAGCATGGGAGACCCTGTGCTAAGCAGTGCAGGGGTTTGCCTTTTGGGAATGCTTCCTACTGTACACCTAGAAAAAAGAAGGTAAACTGCAGCCAGATGAGACGCTTCCTTTTGAGTCCTATAAAACTGTGGTGTTTAGGTAATGCTCAGTCATCCTGTGAATCTTACAGTCTTGCTTTTGAGAAAAACCTGCAGCTCAGATTTCCCTAAGCAAACTTTGCATTTTGCTGGAAAAAGTTGCTGGTTTTAAAGGCTATTTCCTGCCTTTACTTCTCTGATGATTGCTAGCAGAATGCCAGATCTCTGATAGAGAGGATTTCCACATTTCTCTGTCACTTTTTCTGTGTTATCTCACTTCTCAAAGTATATCAATTCAAAGCTTCCTGGAAATAGTTCTGCCTGCAACAGCAGACTACAAATACATCCATGATATGAGAGAAATGTGATCATTTACTTATTTGTTACTAGCATCTTGCCTCCTAGGATCCTAAAGTGCTTTTAAAACTTCAGTCAAACTCTGAATCTCTTTGTTGCTTTTATTAAAATGCAGGGAAAACTGAGGCTCCATGGGTGGAATGTGGCTCTGTTTGGAGATGCTGGAGTAGTTGGCTGCCTGTGGTCCCAGTTTATGAGAAATGCAGAGCACCTGAAGATCTAGCTAATTGTTGGAAGAGACCTGTTTTCTGAGCAACACTGGAAAATGGTGTTTAAGTATCCAAATACATCCGGTGCCTGAGGCCAAAAATGTTGGCTGGGATGACATCTCCATCCTGTCATAGTGAATCCAAAGTGAGCCACGACTGGGACCCACAGCAACACTGGAGCCCCCTCTAAAATCCATCCCACAAGGTGTTTTGTGGGATTCATACCAGGTATTCCCTCCTTCACCCTAGCTTGCACCGTCTTGAAATGGTCCCTATCCTTATGCAGGGCCAGGACTTCTCAGGTCAAGGGCAGACCAAGGAGCCTAGCTATGGTTGCTTTTTAATCTTTGAAATGCCAAATCCATGCCCACTGCCCAGTGTGGTTTGCCTCCAGACAGCAGCTGACAGATCACACCATCTCTGATCCGCTCTGAGATTTGGGAGCCGCAGCAGGGTCCTGACTCTTACCCTGGTAAATCTGCTCCATTAATAGCTATCAAAGATCCTGAAGTTTCCATCTGAACTTTATCTGGCTTTGCAGCAAGCTGGAGGATTAAAGACCATCACAGGGGAAGGGAGGGAGCAGCCATGGCTCACCCGGAATAGCCTGACCTATGACAGCACGTACCAGCCTGGGGAAGGGAGTTGTTCTGTGAGCTCATGGGTTATTAGCAGTGAGCACAGACATGCCTGCAGTCAGCAGCACACCAAGGGCCATCTGCTCCATCCTTGGCTGGTTTAGGGGGTCTAGAGGGATTTACTAGTACAGCTTGCCTGTATGGCTCTTTGATGGGAGAGCTGGGAGCAGGCTTGAGGGCCAGACTTGTGGAGCCATCATTTTATGCTGCTCAGATGACCTTAGGGTTTGACCTCTGGGCTGTTTGTATGGGGCAGGTCTGTTTTTGAGGGAGCATGGTATGAGAAGATAACCCCTGCCCTGCTGCAGCCTGGGGCTGTTGTCTCTCTGCTCTGTCATAGCAAGTAATAAAGGGATCAGACTGGGCTGTATGGCTGGGACTTGCCTATAGGGCCAGCAGGCATGGGGCATAAGCCATCATCTACCAGATGGGGGAAGAGTGTAGGAAACAAGAGCAGGCTTTTTGGCGTAGCCAGGGATTAACTTCTCACAGCCCCTCTCTTGTAACAGGTTTTGTTTTCCTTGCCTTGTTCCTCTGCTGGTGTCTCAGAGTCCTCTGTTTCACCTGCCCCATGTCACTACTGTGGAAAAATGCAGGGTTTCTTATTACTTCCTCCCCTCTCATTCAGAGCTGCTCCTCAGCTGAGCATCACTGTTGCAGCAGGAGCTTTTTTCCTTAGAGATAGGCTGTGAGTTAGAGCCCTTTCCAGTGCCCAGCGTTTTGCAGGACTCAAGCAGAGCACCACAGCATAGTGGAACAAGATCTTCCCAGCTGGCTGGATGACCCCAGACTCAGAGTGCTTGTCCCTGGAGGAGCAGTGGAACTGCAGATTAACTTCTCTGACACGTGGGAAGCAGGAGTGTGGCCAGCACAATGAATAGTCTGTGGGTGCTGCCCAGTGTTTTACACCAGGAAGCACTGACGCTGTTCTAAACCTTTGACCCCAGCGACATACTGCAGATTCTTCCTGGCCTTCCCTCCCCTCCAGGCCTGAAAGCATTGCATCTCCTGACTAGCTAGACAGATGCATTGCCCCATAAAAAGCTCCTTTGTATCCCCAACAATTCTATTGATATGCACATTGGGAACATCATTCTGCTTTGGAATTTGCAGCTTGCATACTTGGGTGCTATGGGCGCTACTGGTGTTATTGCCCTTTGGATATCTAGGAAGTCACCCAGCAGGTGGGAAATCTGTGCTCAATAGATCTTGTAGCCTAGGGGAGTACAGCTGACCACAGGGCCTCTGAGAGCATCCTTTCTGGAAGAGGTTCACCATTCCACCGGATGAGAAAGATGAGGCCATACTGAATCCTTCTCTCCTGCTGGCATGGCAGAGAAATGTGTAGCCTCGGCAGCAGTGTTGTGGCACGTGCTTCCCTTCACTGGAGCAGGTGAGTAAAGGAGGCACCAGTGACGTGTACAGGACTCTGCCTGTCCAACCAATGTTGCTGCTTCTGCTGTTCAATGAGCTGTTCTGTACCAAGAGTTTGAGAGGAAGAAGGGACTATTTGGGCTCTCTATGTCCTGCTGCACAGACAGGCTTACCAAGCATGTTAGGTGCTTGTAGTTGCAGTGTTTGCTGCCGTTGCTCAAGCTGTAGGAAGTTGTGCTTCTAACTCTGGAGGTTTTTGTTCAGGTCTTGGTCACAAAGAAGGCAATCTTCATCTGTATGTGTCCTTTCCCCACCTTTTGCTGATACTTGAATACCACAGCAGTTCCTGGAGGTGAAGAGAGGCTGTTGCACAGAAGGAGAATGAAAAACAGTGATTCCCTCCTAGACATTCAATCCCAGCCTAAATAAGGGGACTTCTGAGCCGGGTGCTGAATGACTGCACTGATTTATCGTGTCTAGCACTAGAGTCAGTTACTGTGGTCAGGGGTGAGCTGGGAATATGTGTGCTTATATGGGGGGAAAGGGAACTGAGATTAGCCAAATAGACATAATGCAAATGTCCTTGACCTTGGCTGTGTAAAAAAGATGGGAGTGGGCCAGTAGGTGCATTGGCAGTTGGACTAGATGATTGTTGTAGGTCCCTTCCAACTGAAAATACTCTATTCTGTGTTTTGTTGCGTGGACCTTCTCAATGCCATTTTGGAGATCAAACATGAAAGTTTGATCCCTGCCCTGCAGGGGAAAAATCCTCTTTACATTCTCTGAGAAGATCTGTGGGTAGCAAAGGGAGCTGGAAGAAGTTGGTTTATGCTGCTGTCTGGCTACCTGGCAGTCCCTCAGAACGGCTGGTCTGGAGACACTTACTAGTGGCCTTCCTGTAGACCTGATGGCAGTAACATGCACCTGCTTTTCCATCTTGACCCTCTTCTCTCCAGGAGGGGCTGAACTGATGGCTGAGACCTGTGGCTAAAGGACTGCTGTGCTCAGCAGAGCAAGAGAGACTTCAGCTTTCCAGTGCTTTCTGCCTCTTGGGCAGTCATGCTCTTGCCAGCCAGGGCTCCCTTGCTTTTCAAGGTGTTCCCTCAGCACCCTTTCTAGCCCACCTTTGGCTCCTCAGAACCTCCTGTGACTGAGGACTGGTGGGCTTTTCTCTGTTTTTACTGGCCCTGCGA